ACCATCTGTTGTCTAGCTCATTTATCGCCAGCTAAGCTTGCAAAAAACCCCAATGAGGAACTGAAATGATGCAAAAAGCAAATGTCCTTGGGGAAACAGTGTTTTTTATTTCCCACAGGGAGCACGAACTTCTGTGCTTTAGAAGCGCCTACAACATTGAAAGAGAGAGAAATAAACTGATCAAAACCAAAGAGAATAAAGAAAGAAAGCAAGCTGCTTCATAGAGGCTAAATAATTGAGATCTGTAATGGCAGGCCTGCATGCTGAAAAACATGTTCTAAATCCTCATTTATGGTGCTTCAAATAATTGAGACTTGGTTTAAATAGCCTGCCATTAAAATCTGGTGAAGATCAATAGGAACAGGCTGTTAGGTCAGCCGTTTCTGCATTTGAAATGGTTGGTCCTTATGTGCTGCCTTCTGATTTGTCTCTTCTGTGGCTACCAATGGCCAATTTAACTTCATTTTGTATACACTGATTTTTTGGTTTTGAGAGAGACACACAGGGCTGATTTCATCTGATGGAAACCCTGGATCACTTGCCAGCTGCTTCTTCCCCTGTGGGAGGGAGGGGACCCAGTTGTCACCGGGTTACACCTTGTGCTGAGCACTGGGCATGGTAGAGCCTCCGGGATGCTGCTGCCCACCTTGCCTCCACCAGAGGGGCAGGGGTCCCCTCCAGCAGCAGCAAGTTGCCATCTTGTCCCCCCCATCCCCACAGGGCAGTGAGAAGAGGGAGCGTGGCTCTTTCAGCCTCTCCTCTCTTTACCAGCTCCAGGTCTTGCCTCTCACCCTCCCCTTCCTACGGATGGGAAATTTGAAGGCCCATCCTCGGGCACATTATCCTCAGGCTTTCAGACCTATAACCAGACACAACAGTGGGAAACTCACTGAAACATTGTTTGTTTCTGTCATTTCAGAAACTAGCTGAGGAAATAGCTGTATCAGAAGAAAAGCAACAGCTTATAAGCTTTTGAGAAAAGACATAAAAGGTAGAAGAGGAGGAGGGGTTATGCTCTCTGTAAAAGAGTGATTTGAGGACACAGGCAAGAGGACAGGTCAGCTGAGTGCTTTTGGGTCAAAATCAGAGGTGTCACCATCAAGGGAGTGCTTGTGGTGGGTGTCCTGGATAGATGACCTGACAGACAAAGAGAAACAGATGAAATCTTCAGACCACTTGAAGAACCCACAACAGCAGCCTTGGCCGCAGTGATAAGATCATAGAGTTTAAAATCCTAAGGAGTGTGAAGAAAGCAAGTAGAAGAATAAAGCCCCAGAACTTCATAAGAGCAGATTTTAACCTGCTCAGGGAGCTGTTAGGAGGTATCCCAGAAGAGTCTGCCTTGGCAAAAGCCAAAGGTGTTCAGGAGTATTGGGAGACTTTCAGAGACAGCCTTCTCCAAACACAAGAGCAGTCCATCCATCTAAGCAGGAAAAGGAGCCAGCACAGCAAGAAACCAGCCTGGTTAAGCAGTGAGCTACTGAGAGAACTGAGGTGCAAAAAAAGGAACATGAGAGAGATGGAAAAGGGAACAGGCTTCCAAAGGAGAATATAGAAATACCTCTTGGGCACGCAGAGATGCAGAGAGAAAGGCTAAACCCTGCTGGAGCCCAAACTGGCAAGAGATGTCAAGAGTAGCAAGAAAGTACTTAACATACTGTATGCTTGTTAGCAAGCAAAAGGACAAGGAAAAGGTAGGTCCACCACTGAGTGGGGTTGGCAAGTTGTGTTATAAATGACAGAGGAAAACCTGAAGATTTTCCTTCATACTTTCTTTGCCTTGATCTTCACAAGTAAGGTCAGCATCCCAAGTCTCTATGGAAATGATGATGAAGCAAACAATGAACTGCTGACAGTGGGAGAGGGTTGAGTTAGCTGAGGTATGTGCTGGCATCTCTCAGTTGTCGCCCTCTCCTTCATGCCTGGAAATAGCTTCCACAGGGACCCGTTCCATAATTTTTCAAGGGACTCAAGTGAGGCTGACTCATCTGTAATTTCCCAAATCTTCTTTTTTTTTTTTTTGCCTTTTTGTAGATGGCTGTAATATTTGCCCTTTTCCAGTCAGCTGGGACTTCCCCTGAACTCCATGATGTGTCAAAAGATGTTGAAGGTGGCTTTGCAGTCACGTTGGCCAAACCTCTCGACAGCCTTGGATGCATTCTGCCAAGTCCCATTGACTTGTATATGTCCAGCTTGTACAGGTGGTCCCCAGTGCTCCTGAGCTTCTTTTCCCTCATCGGGAACCTTTCTAACAGTTTCCTGGGAAGCTGAAACCAGGAGAAAGTTTGTGTATGATCATCTGCATATAATATATAGAAATCTGAGACTGCCAATAGAAACATGATGCAACAGACCTGTCAACTTTGATGCAAGTAAAAGCTAGTGCAGTGTCCAAGGATTGATCAAATAGTCAGGCAGGCTAAGGAATGAGCCAGAAGGGCTATGGTAATCCTCAGCCAAACCAAAGAAATCATAAGCCGGCCAACCAAAAGAAGAATTAAAAAAGCAGTGTTAAAACACATCCCATTGGACACTAGCATACTCATCTACCGCAACATGGTTCCTGAATGTTACGCTGTCATTGCCTTGTTCATAAGCCAGAGAGAATTGTAATAATACTTTTTCCCCTATGTTTGTGCTCATGTACACTCACATTTTACAAAAAACCCCACAACAAATGTTTGACAACATGATAAGAGGACTAGAGGGTCTGAAGGCAAGACCAGAGGGCTAACAAACCTTGCTGCAGACATGACAGAATCACTTGGCAGCCACAACCAGCTTTGATGCCTTGAAGAAGGAAAAACTAGGCAACCAGACTTACCAAAGTGAGAGCAATCGGAATCTCAGGTATATGCCAGGGACTATCAAGGGGGGGGATTCTCATGGAGACCCCCTAGGGTACAAACACCGGGTGACAGCAGAGGCCTTTGAAGGTGTGTGCAAAAACCGTACGTTGTCTATCGAGGAGTGCAGCCTTGATTGCTGGGTTTGAAGGCATAACAAAGACTGAAAGTAACATATTCAGCTCAAAGAAATCATCCCATACATGGTGAAAGTGAGGAGGTAAGAAGGTATAAAACCCTCTACAAGAACAGGAAAAAAAGGAAGAGGAGAGAGGAATTTCTCCTGCACCATCTGCTCAGGTAAGGACACTGTGTGTGATCAGCAGCACCACTGAAACAACAGCAGCTCCTCCTCTGGATCTGAGGGGAAGAATGGTGCTTTTTGACTCGTCCCTTACAGCGTCTTGCTAACATGGACTCAGCAATCATATGTAAAGTAGTACCTTTTACCACGGAACCAGGTTAAATAAACTAGGTTGTTAAGGAGCTGTTTGTATGTGTTTTGTTTTCTGCTTCAACCTTCCCATTCAACAAGGTGACTGACACTGCAGCACAAAGGCAGAGTAAACTGGCATGGCAGAGCCCTGAGATAAATCATTTATTGTATAGCAACAATTCATTCTTCATTCTGGAAATTACGATAGAACCAGGCAAGAGGAAGAGAGGTTTCACGACTACCGTTCGGTCTGAAATGGGACTCGTTCCCATCAGCACCTGGGATCACAAGCCCCGTGCTTCACCAGTGACTGCCACTCCCACAATATTACCAGTTTGATTTTTCCAGATATACGACTGCAACTCAGCCAAGGTGAATGGGAATCGTTTGTATTTAGCATCACGGGGAACAGGGGGTGGGAATCCTCATATGCTGCCAGGCAGAGCTCTCTGGTGCCCGCATCTCCCAAGTGAGAGTGCTGTCAAGCAGCGCTCTGCGGGCAGGTTGCCCTAGCATGTGCCTTTCAGGTCAGCATCAAAGTGTTCCTGATGGACTGAAAAGAGCAACAGCCATTTGGAAGGAGGTTTGAAAACCTAGCTTGTAACGTTTGGAGTTGTTCAGCATTCCTTGCAAGAAACCTCACACAGTTTGGTCAAATACACTTCAATTTTCCAGTGACTATTATTAAGTGTCTATTAATAATGTCTATTACATACTCCAGAAATAACTTTTCCACACAAAGAATTTGCAGCCTTTTTTTCATGTCCAGTATCATGTGCTGGCAGAAGTGAATTCTCCAATTGTTGTAGATGGTTTTTAAGGGTGATGGTAAGGGGACATTGCTGCCTAATTTGAATGGGGGTATACTGGGTAAAGCTACCGCTCTGTTAAATACCTGATTTGCACAAAGACATCCTTCAACAGGGTTCTGTTTTACAATAGACACAGGGGTGTCATTGCTCAGATACCATCAATATGATAAAAGGAAGGGAATCCGGATGGACAAGTAGAAATTACAACATTTTAGTGATGCTATTCGCAGGTATGCTGTAAGCCTTGCAGAGTGATTTCCAATCTCTGTGTGAACACATAGCAAAGTACACAGACTAACTTCATATTTTCTATATTGATCTTTAATGCCCTATTGTTTTCCAGGAGAATAAGTAGGGCTGCTCCAGGCCCCTTGAACAAATGATTGCTCCTCGTTTTCCTATGGTTATACGCAGAATTACTGCTGCCTTTCCAAGGCTGAAGTGGCTGAGTTTCAAGAGCACCTAGATTATTTCTCATAGATAAGGCACATTGTGAATCCTCAGACTGAAAGACTTGTAAAAATACATGCTGTGCTGGAGGAGACTTCAGGAATGAGTTGGAAGCAGCACCCAGTTCTCAGCAGTAAAGCATTACCACACCAGATCTACGAGAGCTCCTGTTTGGTTCCACGTGTGTGCATGGATGTGCTTGTGCGTTATTGTGGTACATACTGGGGAGGGAAAACACTTTTTGTTAAAACAATTCTACATACCAAAAAATGTTACAAAAGCCTAATCAGAAATGGTTTTATATTCTTTTTTTTTTTTTTTTTTTTTTTTTTTTTTTTTTTTTGTCAAAATAAATACAGGCATATAATAATGTATTTGATTTTCTCCATTAATTCAAATAAATTCTTCACTTTTTCTCAAGTAGATTTTTAAGCTTTTTATTATTATTATGTGTATTACAATAGCAGCCATAAGCCTCCAAATTAGTGCCCAATCCATAGGGCCCCATTGTACAAACCAATGTTAAAAAACAGCCCCAGCTCCAAACTGGCGACAAATGAAATCATGAGGATAAAGAAGTCCCTTTGGGGTCCATGTCTAGGCAGCCAGGCAGAGACCCAGGGAACACATAGCATGCTAATGAGTGTGATATGGTTTCTTCACTTTTGGGTAGACTCTGGAGGAAGAAAAAGAATCAGATCTGTTGGTGCACTGTGTTTCCCATAAGGGGGTGGCCACAGCACTGAGATCATTATGACCCATTTCTACAATCCTTGCTCAGTAGGATCCTGAAATTCAGTGAGTGAAAAATGCGTCCTCACTGAGGGCACATAGTAAAATTCCCATTGTCTTCTCTGAAATCAAGATTTTGAGCCTGCTCTCTGGTGGTGGATACAAACTATAGGAAGAAAGAACCTGCAGAAGGAGGAGGAGGAAGAGACAGACCAGCAGACAGGTAGTTTGCTCACAGCTGATCACAAGAATTCAGTCCCTCCTGCCCTGTAAGTGAGGCTGGTTGAATGCTATCCAGTGAGCCTATGTCCTGGATGAATGCTTTCCAGGAAAATATGACTGAAAAAATGAAGATGAAATGGGAAAATATCTGTGCCACCTTGCATGAAGGTGATGGTTGCTGAAGGAGGCCTTGCCCCTATTGCATAATGCCTAGGGAATACAGAATTAGACTAGAAAGGCTGGAAAGAGGTTGTAAATGATCCAGCAGGAAAGACAGAAGAATACCACAGATAAAGAGAGCCTCAGTTATGCATCTTCAAAGAGGCAGAAGTAGCTTGGGCCATCACTGAACAGGACAACCTACCTGCCTGGCCAAGTCTAGGCTGGGATGGTCTACTTTTCTGAAGGCCATGCAGAGGTGAAAGGGAGACTGGTTGCTCATGAGCCCTTTTTGCCAGCCACCCAAGAGTCATGCGCGTTTGTACTGAACTTTACATCCCAGATATATAAATAATGCAGAATTATGGACGAGAACCTCATCATGACACAGTGGTCACCTTGTCAGCTTTATAGGTGCTCTTCATTTGCAGAGCAGTTCTATGGCAAACAGAACAGCTATGCAGTGAACTCCTTGGCTTTAAAACCTCCCTGGGGAAGAGCCCTCCCTACCAGAGACCTTTTCAGTCAGGGCAGATGATATCACAATAGGTAAGAGATCCCTTTGCTGTCTGGCAGGAAACACAGCACTGACCCTCCTGAAGGCTCAGACTGAAGACCGCCTCCTGCAGTGCTCACATGTGCAGGACAATGTCAGAAAATTACCCCTTGTCAGAAAACCATGAAAAGTGTTATCTCTTCCTCTTGCGGAGTTCCTTGAGACTCTGTTCCCTTCACCTTTCTCTCCACAGTGGCTGCTGGAGGAGACCGTAGGATACCGGACCCAAACCAAAGCTGGCTGAGTAGCTGAGACTCCCTTCTAACTACAACTACTATTATTCTTTAAATCCAACTGTTTGGTCCCATTGCTTATCAGCTCTCAGTGTGACAGTGGCTACACTCTGACTTCAACTCAGACAAGCTGAGCTCTGAAAATAGCTTCATGCTACCTAAGTAAAGCTCTGCTTACTAATGAAAGTATCAGAGGGAATGACAAAATTATTTGGGCAGATGAAGGAATGTATGTTTGGCCTTGACCAAATTCTCCATCTTTGGGTAATCCCCCCCTTTCCTGTCATTCAGGAAATGTCCACAGTCGGTTACTGTAGACCCTTCCTACACCTGCTAGCAGCTCTGTGCCTTAAACGTCAGTGAAGTTATTCATGCAGCAGTGTGCTAGGCACACATCACTCTCATTTTCAGGGGTTTGAATTCCTCTGGCAAGGTGCAGTAAGGCAGAGGTGAATCAGGGTCCAAAACTATAAATGTTCTTTGCTCAGGATTAATCAGATATGCTTGTAAGGCATATCAGCTCTATTTTGCCTGTTGTTGTGCACTTGGGGTAGTCTTACATCTATTCATACCCACAAGTTAATAAGGGACAGACCAGGATCTGGGCTCTGGCACTGGTTTGAGACTGGACTGTTTGCTCCCTTGGGGAAGACAGGAAGGGCTGATGCCACCTGCGCAGTCCCCATGGGGAGGTGAAGGTCAGCAGCGGCACTAGGCTCAGCAGCAGATGGGGCTGACACTTCCACCGCCAGAGGCATTGAGAAGGCCCAAGACCCAGCAAAATGGGTGTGCAGCTTAGCTGCAAAAAGAAACCACCGAGTTAGAGCTCAGGGGCCCCTTTCAGTGAGGCTCTCTGCCATGTCGTCCCCTCTCCGGAAGCACCCTGTGCACCCAGTCAATAACGCTGCCTCTCCTTCTCGCAAAATCCCCAGCCCAAAGGATCTCCTCAACTCTCTTTTGTCGCTTGCCAGGGAGAGGTGCCAGGAAGCGGAGGGCAGGCAGGCAGCCCGCTGCCCCACAAGGGAGAGGAGAGTGCCCTGTCACTGCTACTGCAATGGGGGCAGCACGCCCAGCTTCACGCCTGCACCTGTCCCCACTGGTAACCTCCTCAGTGAGAGCATCACCACCACCGACAACATGCACCACAAGGGTCCTTTCCAGCTGTAAAATTTCCTAGGAGGCACCAGGGGCAGCCACAGTCTCCGAATCTGTCACGACACTGGGATTTCAGCAGCCCCATGGCAACCCCACACCTCCTTGCATGGGCTGCCCATTGGCACCCCAGCCCGCAGCAAGGACACCGGCTCGCCTCAGTTCAACACCTTTTCCGAGAAGTGTCCCAGCTTCCCCTCCTCCTGCACGGGCTGCAAGGCCTGGCCGTGGCAGGATGGGCCCCGCTCCTGAGCCAGGGGTCCGGCGGGCCACCGCACCCCCCCGCTCCCTGCCGCCGGGCAGGCGCCCTGCAGCACGGCACACTTCTCCTTGTAGTGCTGGCCATTGCCAGCAAAAGTCTCGCAGCGGCTGAGGTTTTCCTCCTGCACGGGGCTTCCCACGTTCTCCTCACTTGGCCCTGAGGCCGTTGGCCCCTCCTGGGAGTTTTGGCTAAGGTAGACAACAATGATGTCGCCCTTGAAATTCATTACTTGTCCACTTGAGATAAAGGTGGAGTTACTGTTTCCAGTCACATTTCCTGGGGAAGGAGGGGAGAGAAAAGAAGACACATGTGATTAATACTTTCCCCTCATGAGATGGATGCTTAGCGCAGTGAACTTAATCCGCTTTACTCTTGGTGGCTTTACTCTTGTTCCATTGTTTTTACCCCGTGACACGAGGTTGCTCTTATAATCAATGCCTTCCACTGGACCTTTTCATTATTTCCATTTTTACCTCCTCAGGACGAAGCCTGTCATCCACGGGGAGCCTGTCTGGAAGGCTTGGAAACATTTTCTCTCTCAGTTGCACTCTGGGAAGCAAGAGAGATTGTGACAATCTCATGCTCCTCTTGCTGCCTGATGCACAAGCTGCATCCAAACCGCCTCTGCCCATGGTTTGTGAGGAAATGGTCATTATTTCTAATTATATTTTTTCAGGGTCTCAGAAATCACACTGGGGTTTTTTTTCCCCTCTGGTAAACAATCAATCCTATCGTGTGGGTGAGGTAGCAGGCTTAGTGAATAAACACTAAAAGACTTAACGTCAGCCATACAGTCACACAGTGTCCAAATGATACGGAGCTTATACAATTATCTTATATTGTCCTGATCCTCTGTGTAGGTACACTCTGCTACTCACCTAGTGCCTTCATGGATTTACCTGGATATACTGACTCCAGTGAAGAGATAGAGTCTATGTTATAGCAACCTAATGGAGTTATGGTTTCAGTCAGTCTGCCTGCGGTTAGAGGTCTTCCACTATAAATTTAATCTTTCTGCCATCCGAGGACTGGGTCACTGACTCAAGTGACAGCAGGACCAGGCTCTGGGAATTAATAAACTTCCCTCAGAGCAGAAAGAAAATAACTAAGAGCAAACTTTCGACAACAAACAAACTTGTTAAAGTTTGAAAATTAAACCAAAGCAACCAACTAAAAAAAAAAAGTCTTCCTAGCCTATGAACACTCTTTCTATTAAATGTTTTTCCTGCTGTCATTCACTTAATCATTACTTGCAGACTGATTTGACCCTTTTAGATGTTTTGTGCCTTTCCTTATTATGTTCTCAACACTTGAGACATTCCCATTTTTCAGTGCATCTAAGCATGGCCCAGCTGTTTTTCTAGTGGCCACAGGTGATGTTTGCACATCAGCAATGGACACCGGGCTCCAGATCTGCTGAGTTAGGAGCTGTGTCTGTTCATAAATGAGTCTGGGTAGCACTTGAGTGACTCTCTAATAGCCCCCCCTCAAACAATCCTATTTATTCTAGCTAAAACACTGCATTGCTAGCTCTTTGCTTTCCTTCCAGGTGGTGTCAATAAGAGTTTTTTCCTCTGGTATTTTTTTCCCTACTGGTTGCTTCCCCTGAGTTCAATTCAGTTAGGCTGTTTGCCATTAACAAAACTGTTAGGCATAATGGGAGTACAAAAATAACTGTTTGACTTTATACAGATTGCCTGTCACTCATAAAAAGTACTGTGGAAAAGTTTACCAGTGTTTAGTATGAGATCAAGAATTTAGAGTGAATTTATGAATCAAGAATTTATGTGACAGTGGGGGGTGAGGGGGGAGCAGATTAACACATTTATAATGTTTTGTTGAATGTGGCTGGCAAATTTTCATTGCTTTCTGGAGACACCGTGCTGAAACAAAAGGATATTTGAGGCCCAGACCACAGAATATGGACACAAGAGCTTCCTGAACTGCACTGAGGGATGTGCTTCCAAAGTGGGAAGTATAAGGGACACCTTCAGAGGATTAGTGAAGGCGTCATTCTCAAACCTTTCAGACTTTTGATCTCTTCAAACTACCTGATAGTATTAGTTACAATGACAGATTAATTTTTCACTAAGGACTGGAACAACGCAGGCGTTAATTTTCTCTGAGCCCTCTATGGTCTCTAGGTGGTGAAAATGTTTGTCACTGCCAAACCGGGCTGGTTTGCAATCTGGAAGTGAAGGGCTCTGCAAATCCATTCCTAATCGTGATTCACTTAAGTCTTCCTGCAATAATGCTTTATGCTGTAGCCCTACACATGACTTGAGGGGGTCATGAACTGACACTTCATGTTCGGACTGCCTCTAGGCTTGAGAGGTTTGAAAGAGCACTTGAAGGCTTACCTCCATCTCTGGTGCTGATCCCTGTAAATGACACCTGTCCAGAGGTTTAGTTTGGTCCTCAAGGGTCCTCAAGGAGGGACAGCATTTGCAAATTCTGTTGTCATTTTGAGTGTTAGGGAACTAAATGATTATCCCTGGCCTTTTTCTTCCCATTTTTTTATCCACCCTCTTTTGTATTATTCTGTCTTAGCATGACTCTGTGCAAAGCCTTGGTGGCTTCAGTTGCTTTGAGAAGATGTACAGAAAGTTATTTTTCATGCACATTTATTCCATCTGGGCATTTCACAAGGCCCAGCAAAGCTCCACGTGCAGCCACAGTGTGGCCAGGGTGCTTCAGTGTGGAACCTATGGCCAAGCCCTGTCCCACTCCTTGTGCAACCAGGTGCTGCCAGAAGGGCATGGCTATTCTGTGGGCAGAAAAAAGTCTCTGCTAGCAAGCCACATTACCTACAGATTAACTAACCCACACTCTCATACTGTCCATAGCTCAGTCAGTAACTTCTGGCAGTCATGCCTGGAAAATGGCAAATTAGGAACACAGTATCTGTGCTCAGGTTTCACCAGATGGCACTATAGCATGTACATAACCAAAGGCACAGACAAAATTAAAATCTCATATAAAGAATTATGCTGCAGATCTAAGATGGCACTTTCTAGCATGTCTTTTATATCCAAGCTCTATTGTTCCTTAATATTTTCTCTTCCTCTTCGTGTCAGATTTAGAAAGTAAACCAGTACTTTTGCAGTGCCAAATATGACTTGGCTTTCAGTTGCACTTCAGAGTCACCTTCCAACAACAATAAAAAAAGATAATCTGTGTTCTCTTTACTATTGCTGAATTTTGTACAGACCAGGCAGTGAAACTGTCAGGATTTCAGGAAACTGAAGAAGCAGAAAGAGTATCTGCTCTCCAAGAGATGAATGCTACACACTTTCGGATTCCCACATGGCATGCATGTTGGGAGAGGATGGGCCTTCAAAAGCGTAGCTTTTGGGCTTTGGCAGACTGACAAGAATGTCTCCGTAAGAAACTTTAAGGCACAATATGGTTTTAAAGGAGGTCAACTTCTTATGACTGCTCTGTGTATTACAGTAATACTTAGATGTCCCAGTCAAAACTAAGGTCTCATTACACTTGGCAGAGCATCGACATAAATAAAAATAGAGCATCTGACTTTAAGAGATTATAATCTAAAATGACTAATAACACATGACAGGCATATTGCAGACTTTTATACTGAAAAAAAGTCCGAGGGCAGAAGGTTTCATCCAGAAAAGGCTCATAACTTCCCTTCTGCTAGTTTTGCTTCAGTGATATTTTTTTTTTCACTGCTTTCATTTGACAATTTTGATGTATTTACTCAATTAGTAAATTGGCAACAGTGTTTCAGAGTTGTTTAGAGGACAGAAAACTTGTGTATGGAGAAACAACGTCTGTATAAAATTATTTTTAGGTGAATGCTTATATCTGAGCAAATTAAAACAAAGAGAAAGAGCTAAAAGCAGAAATTTGAACATAATCTCTTAGACCCAGTTGTGGCCACCAGGTTTTAGCTCCAGCTGGAGTTTCACTGACCACCATGTAAATGGAATTGGACTTAAACCTAATGACAAAAATGTGCTGGATGGAAACAACAGACTGCTGGATGTAATATCATCTGTTTGAGCATTATGCATCCTTTCTTGACTCAGCCTCTAGGTCCCTATACTCTCCTCCTTCTAAGTTTTCTCCAGTATACACACTTGCTATCACCAAAATACTTCACTTGCAGAATTGCCCAGCCTCTGCAGTGACAGCCAGAAGATGGGTTCTGCATTGCTGGCTACATCAGGGCAGGACAAAGGTCCTTCACAGTGCTCATACTATTTGCAGAATTCACTACAAACCAAATGTTCTTACTACTTCAGTTTTGTTTTTCAGATTAACTTCAGGGCAATTAAGTGAAAAGGCATCATTTTATTCTTCTCCCCTTCTCCTAAACCAGACCTGCTGAATTATCCTATACAACTGTGTACAGGTGAAGCCAAATGGGCTTACCAGATGCTGGAGGGAGGTCTGAAGTGCTGCTGTTGTTTGTCCCTGAAGTGCTTCTGTTTGTCCCTGAAGTGCTTCTGTTTGTGTTCTGGTGCTTCACGTTGGTACTATCCAAAGATGCATCTTCTATACCATGATCACTTGTTAGAGTGCTCTGACCAGCAGAGAGAAAATTCAAGCCACAGATGCACTGTGCATAGGACCCAGTTTCTGGAGATGTGGAGGCACTGTTGGCCGCAGCACAACAGGGTTTGCTCCACTTTCTGGGAGATTCCCTGTATGAAATGCCACACCTCACACAGATCTTCTCTGAGTCATAGTTTGTTGCAAAACGATCTGTGTCTTTGTTGCCCGTTTCCTTCAGGCAACTGTGGGCATGTTGGCAAGATTTCTGAAGAAGTCTGTCTGTGGCAGTGTGTGCCCCATCTATGTTGGAGGAAGAGTGAGAGCCTTGAGAGACTGATACATCCTCTGTGCTCCCAATCCCTGAAAAGTACTGATTTAAGCTGTCGTTCTCCCCTGCCTCCATTGGTTCTGAAAATGATGACACTGTTTTACTGGCAGTCCGACTCAGTAAAGATAAATAATCAGCGGTATTGAGATCCTTATCCATGTATTCATCTTCTGTGGGTACTGTTGGGAAATGGTCATCTTGAGTCTCAGTTACCACAGAGAACTCTTGGAAGCTCCCTCCCACCTCGCATGGTGCTGTGCCAGGGCTCCCATTCCTGCAAGGAGCGTGGCCACTGCTGCAGCATGACTTTCCAGGGGCAGGAGAGCCAGTGGGGCCCAGGAGACCTGTGCCTTCAGAGGTCTGGGGGACAGCAGCATTCATGTTGTTCATGGTGACAAATGCATCTCTGGGGGGATCCTGAAAGAGATTTATTTATTAAAAATAAAAGCTTGTTTAATTAATAGATGAGCAGAAGGTTATTTTCTAAACAAAGAAGGAACAGGCAGATCTCAGTTATTCCTCGTGTGGACCTGCTGAGATTGAGCACCATTGATATATTTGAGTCTTGAAGTGTAATTCCATTCTGCAGCAAAACTGTGGCCAGTGATGTTGGGCTCAGCAGGCATTCAGAAAAAAATCTGGTGACTTGGGGAGCAATAACATTTAATTTTGGGAGACAACTATTCCTAGTTCTTAAGAAGGCACTTAAGAGTTAATAAATCTAGATGAGTTGCTGGATTCTGCTGTTTCTTATGGACCATAAGTAAGACTACGTAACTGCTTATAAGGGTTTGGAAACCCCCAGTGTGTCTGAAGGGCAGTTGATCCATTAAGGCCTTACTGGGAGCAGAATATTTAATGATCGAAGAAAGAAATTGGGTTGATTCAGAGGGCATAAGACAAGCTAGGAAAAAAAAAAAAAAAAGAAGTCACATGGGCAAGGTTTCTTTAACTTGGAAAATGTCAGGACAACAAATTCAAAGGCCCATGATATCATATTGCCAGTACTTGTCAAAGTAAAGCTGTATTTTTGGTTGCAGCTCCAAAAAAAAAGGTTGGGAAATACTTCCAGGGTTCCCTTCAGTTCATGCAAGTTGTACTGTGAAGATGGGTATTTAGGAACTGATACCTTTAATTTCTAGTGTCTGTTCAGATCTTCCAGGGTAGAAGAGAGCATGTAAATGCTGCCAGCCACTAATTGCTGTTGAATCACTCCTCTGTCCTGGAGGCGCTGAGGAGCTGCCAGTGCAGGAGGTTGCATGAACACTTACAAGACAAAAGAGGAACTGCCTGTTCAAAGAGGTGGGTTGGTTTGGTGTGGGGGTTTTTTAGCAATTGAATTTGAGCCTTTCAACAGCCTTTCAAGAGCTCCTAGATGGGGTGGTGGGGAGAGCATGCACCTGGGACACCTCAGTCCCTGTCCATGGTGTGAAGGAGGCAGTGCACATGAACTTGAACTTGTGATCCTACCTCAGTGTTTCAAGCATGGGATCTGGTGTCCTTCCAGAGCAAAACCTCTTGTAAGCTTGTACTTTTTTCACATCCAAATGGACAAGAAGGATTTCTGCAAGCACTAGAACTAAGGTGTCTCAGAGCCAGTTTCTTTAGCTGATGGCTCCGTGCTCAATGCCTTGCATGTCTGGCATTCTTGGCATTGCCCCAAATCCAGGTTTCTCCCCCCTGTGAACACTCTGGTATGTAAAAAGGTGTAAACTCAACTGAAGCTTTTCCTGCTCTTAGGATTTAGAAAGGCTCTGTCCTAGGCAGAGTCTCAGGTGTTCAGCAACCAGTGGGCTCATGTTTAACTTTCTCCTCATAAATACTTAATCATCACAGAGACTTTTACTGCTGTTAAAACTGGCTGAAACCAGAGACAGGTTCAGAGGCTATTTGAGAACAGTGATTTCATATGCCTCACATTTACAGAAAACCAGACTGAAAAAGCCAAAGCTGCGAGCATTTTTTGAGGAACTCAAAACTAGTTTTCTAGCCAAACATTAACATGGAGACTGCTTCAGGAAGGGTGTCAGGAATACCACAAGGAAAACATAAAACAGAGAGAACACTAGCGCCTTTGACTTTACCTTTGTTCCTTTTATTTGGCTGCATACCTCATTAGCCCAGTTCTGTAGATCTGCTGTAGGGAAAACAAAAAGAGTAGCTGTAACATATGGCAGGCACCGAAGTTAGCCACAGACCTAAACACCCACAGTCATTCACAATCCACAATATCATATTAAATAAAAACCAGCGAGACTGTTTTTACTGACTGTTCAAGTGTCCCAGAGTCAGTCTAGCTGAGGATTCATTGTAACTGGAACAGGGATATATTTCTGTGGAACAAATGTTTCAAAGCTCCTAAAATAGACCATGGTTAAACTGTGTTCCACATCAAATGGGGTTTCTCTCCTGGTCATATGTCACATCAAGCTATGACTGGCCCAATACCGACCCACATGCAGCCATACAGTCTATTTCAAGAGAAGTCACATGGATGGCCCAAAGTCCATTCTCAGCCAAGAGTGAGGAGCCTGGGGAGAAGAGGGTAAGCCAGGGGATGGCAGGCTCAAATACAGCGTATTCCACTTAATTAGAGTGTACTTAATAGGGAAATCCACTTGATCGGAATATTTCCCAAGAAAAAGCTTGAAGTCCCACAATGCTTTATGGTAAAGACTGCCACTTAACAGAGTTAGCAAATCTTGTTTTTTGTTTATACTTCCATGAAATTTTGTAGAGCTCTGTTCTCATGTACTCTTGAAGCTTAAGCTGATTTTGTATATCTCAAGATAGATGAGCTATGTAGCCACTGCCAGTTCCCAGCAATGACTCTGTTCCTCTGATGTTGAGTCTGCACATTTACCATCAGTTCCCCCCCACGCCCCTCCACCCCTAGCAGGCAGAGCTTCCTCCTGAGCCTGCAAGCCTCTGGGGCTCTGGTTAGCAGGATTTATCACGCTAAGGCAATGAAGGACTGTCACTGCAGAGCAGCAGGGCAATAGAAATGTCAAATAAAGAACATTATTTGTTCTAACCTGCTTTGTTCTAGCTCCTAACCTGCTTTGCATCATAAGTATTTGGTTTGCAAGGAGAGTCACCATTTCCTCCAGCCCATCCCAGGAATTCCAGATTTAGCACAACCCATGTTTAGCATGGCAGAGGCAGCCCATTTCTAAAACACAAGCTGAAATATACTTTACAAGAGAGGGTTGCTGTCTTCGCTTCCACTGCTCCTAAAACATTTCGTAAATTGCTAGGGCTTGGGAAAGGAGATGACGAAGAAACACCACCAGGAAAAGCTTTCCAAGTTTACAGGGTGGAAATGAAAATGAAAAGAACAATATGAGTAAGTCCTTAACCAAGGAGATCTAGGTCTTAACACAGAGTAGAGTAACTGTTGAAGGTATTTCCGTTGTATTGATAATATATTCAGCATACCACTGTTATCCAGTATGTCTTTGCTAGAATTTTTCTATTTTTCTACTTTTACTGTTTATTCTATTACCTTCTAGTATTTCTTCCATGCCTCATCAGAACTTCAGCCTTCAGCTGAAAACATTGCCTCCATCAAGTTTTCAAATACACATCATATTTTAACTGTCCAGATGTAGGTTTTAGGGGCGGAGGGAAAGTGGGAGGAAGGAAATAGAGGGTGGTGAAAGCCCCTTATGTCCATCCCTGCTTCCCTTCAGGCCAGGGGTCTGCTGTACCACCTGAGGCAGAGCAGCCACACTGCTATAAAAGCCCCCAGTGCCTGCCCCACTTCATCCACACTACAACTGCGTCCACTCTGAGGGTAATCGCCCGCCAATCAGGGCCGCAGGGGATACCAAGTGATGTGCATTATGTGTAAGTGTAATACGCTGCCTGCCTAGAGGAAAGGAATTTGAAGCCTGGCTTTGAGCTAGCTAAAGCATATCCTTACGGACAGATAGAGGGATAGCACAGAACTTCCAGAATAACTCTTCGGTTTCCTAATCTGGTGGTTACCCATGAAATCAGAGTGCACAGAGCGCCATGCACTTGTCACATTCATGAATATCATTAGCTATCACGTACCTGTCAGCTTTTTTCCCTTATTCTTGTAGTATATAATGAAGACGACAATGCCAATGAGTGCCACAAAAAACAAGATGACAATCAACAAATATAAGATCCTGTTTGTTCCTGCAGGATGTAAAAAAGATAATGCCATCAACATACAGCTTGTACTCGGCAGTACTTGCTCATTTTGCCTGCATTTCCACAGGAGAGGGGTTTTTTCCTTCCTATTTTATTTTCAGTTTCTCTAATAAGGACAAAAGCTCATGTAGTTCAGAACTACACTCATGTAGTTCTGCAACAAACAGCCTTACTGAAGGTACCTGGTGCCGAGACATCTCCATAAAAATCTTGGTGTCAGAGAGTCGTGATCCAGTCATGCTTCTCTGAAAGTCCCCTTGCAAGCTGCCAGCAGCCCATGGGCTGTGCTTGCTCTTCCTCAGGGGATGGAGGACATACATCTCATGGACACTACAGAATTCAGCTGGCAAAATTTGTCCTTTTTCTCAGGTTATGAAGGATCACTGCATGCCAGGCAAGCAGCCTCCCTGGTACCATATCCACACTGGAGAAGGAAATGGGCAGTGGGCAAGAAGGGAGAGCTACATTCAGCTGAGACTGTATCCACTGCTGTAAAATAAGCATGGAGAGAAGCTGCTAGCCTTTACACAGATAATGCGTATGTGGAAATCAGCAGGCTGAAAAAATGAAAGCACTGTAAATGTGATGGAGGTCATGGGTATAACAGCAATGCTGCTTGCCATTCAGTTTCAGTGTGAGGTGTAAAGCTCTGCTAAGTAGCAGACATAGGCTGTAGAGCCACCAGGCTTAAAGTAATCTTTAAAGGTGGGATTTTCCAAGAGTGCTGCTTGGTCTACAGCTGTTCCCCCTAGAGTCATCCACAACAGGAATAGAGTTAAGCCAGCCAAAAACGCTAGTAACACGCCCCGCCTCCTCCCCGCTACTTTCTCACAGATAATCTGTACAAGGACACATACTGTCTTCCGATGGCTCAGGCATCTTCCGTTCTACACAAACTGCATCTGACTTGTCAGTCCCAGGCATGATTTCTGCCATCCCTAGAGCTGTACAGCTAAAAAAGAAAGACAAAAAGGCTAGGTTCTCAAAGAGGAACTTTGTCGTGGCTCCTACACTTGTGCAGAGTAGTAATGTACATTTCTCCCACATTTCTCCACCCTCAAGGACCTCAGATATGTTCTTTATTTTCAGTTGTCTCAGCTCAGCAGTTCTGTTGTTATTGCTCTCTCTTGCTCCCCCGCAAGGAGAATTCAAGTTTCAGGGTGAGAATGCCTTTATGGCTGCACAGCCAACAGAGATGCTCTGTGACCTCTCTACAGACAGCCTGAAACACCCCACAGAAAAATACTTTCACCCAAGCTTTTCCCTGCCTTCTGGCTGTCATGGTCCTTTTACAAGACACAGGAACTTACTTGGTCCAGGATTTGCACTCGTCAGTGGATGAAGCAACCTTTGAGAAGTAACCTCTGGCACATGGTATACACATTGTGTCCTTGTCTTGTTGCACTGTGTGTAGTAAAGGAAGAAAAACTTCATAGCTGAGTTCCCATGGGTTCCTTTCAGGTGAGGGGAAGGTCAGTATGGTCCCCATCCCCCTGCTCCACCCCTCACCCCCCCAATCCCCTTGAAAGCTTCCCTGAAGAGAGTAGGATCTTAGATTATATTAGAGTAGCAATGACAGTCACATGTAAGCAAAAAAAAAAAAAGTATGCTAGTCTCACCTGAGCACTTCTTTACATGATCAACATGACAAATGACCAGGAGCCATTTGCAGTTATTGTAAAATAACACACAGCTATTATATCCTTCCCCTTCCATTAACTTCCTCGTGTCGACGCTATGCCATAGACAGCGACGCTAACTGGTACTGTTACTTCTTTGAAGTCACAGTAAACAAAATGCTGTATCAGGATTTGCTAGACTGGAGAAAAAGCAGCACCACTGTGCTCCAGGCCTATCCAGCATTTCATCCTCCATTACTTTATTATGTGCTGCTTTTTTGGGATTCCTCATGCTTGGCACAGCTGTTCCTGGTGTTCATTACAACTCTGACCTTGACTGTCTATTTTCCAACACCTGCATTTTGATTTCAATCAGACAAGACTAAATTAAATGTCTGTAATAAATCTTGGCATGACAAGTCATCTAAAGCAGAATACCTGTGCTACCTAAAAAGTGTTATCACTTTTAACTTGTTCACAGCATTATAAACTGGCAAAGTAAAGTCACAGGACAAAAACCTATTTCAAATCAGACATGAGGAACAATCCCCACTGGACTGCTTCTCTGGATACTGGAGCAATGCATGACCCAGTGACTCACAGTCAGACACCTCAGCAAACATTAGAAACGCACTGAACACCTTGCGACTATTGCCATGTCCACGTGATATCTTGCAAAAGTCACTTGATCTAAGATACTATTTAAACTACAGAGGTAGATGCCTTCAAAATGCAAGTAGTCCAGGAATATTATATGCAGTAGTAATGACAACATCCCCTGTCTGTATCTTACCAGGATGCTGGGCTCCGAATCCTGGAGCACATATGGAATTTCGCTGACAGCAGTCGCAGTCTTCATTCCAGTGGTAGCCCATCGTACAAGCACACTGCCGCTGAAATGTGCTGTTCCCTGGGTTCACTTCTCTCAAAGCTTTCCCTAAAAGAGAAAGCAGATGGGAGTAAAAATCTCTCTAATAAGAAGCTTCAAGGTTATGAGCCTCCTGATCTACCTATTTGCTTTGCTTGAATGCCAGATGCAAAACCATTCATGTTAGAGGAAATGTTATTTTTCAAGAAGCATGGGAGACTCTTGATCAGCATGGGGCTCCTCACTGATGGCACGCTTGAGCAATACTTCTTGTAGCTGCTGTACTTTTCCTTGTAGACCTTTTGCAAGGGTGAGACAAATGTCTTAGGGGAAGTGAATGCACAGTATGCTAAGCAAAAGGACAACCTTTAAGGTCCAACTCACAGGACTGAATGGCCCCAGTGAAGATAATCATTATCAGCTGCATGGAGACTATAGTCTCACAGCACAGAAACTCTGCTGTCTGGGGACCTCCCTCTCCACCAGGCTCCTCTTCAAGCCCAGCCTCCAGTGTCAGGTACCTGAACACCTAGATCCACTTTCCTATCTTTGTGCTTCCCTAATTTGGATCAAAGGGTTCTTCAGTATGAACAGCTCACCTTGATCACATATTTTATGTAGTAAGCATTTATCTTCTTCATTCCATACATCCATATACTCGTTTGGGCCACACGGCTGGCACACACTATCAGAACTACCAGTGCATCTAGCAGACATATACTTTCCTGTGAATGAGAGAAGGACAAGTCGGTTGTTTGAAAGCTACACACAAGCTGTCTAAGGAGCTTAGGGAAAACAACAGGTTGGACTAACACTGCTGGACTGCTGTGGACAATCATTTCTGCCTGCCACCTTTTTGGTTGCTCAGTCTGGCCCCCATTCAGTGTGGCACTGAAACATCCATGTAGCTTATGCCCTGGGAGCAGTCCTATCGACCCGCATGAGAATCAGGCCGCTTTCTGTCTCCCACAGTGGTTAAGTGCTATCCCAACACAACAGCTGCCAAGGCTTTTGCTGAGGTCAGCAGGACCACTCCTGCACTAGGAGGCACTCGTAAGCCTGAAATCATGCACCTGCGAGGGTATGTGCCAACAGATCAGCAAAGTCACAAGAGCAAGCTGCCTTACTGACCCACAGAGCTGTTTCTAATGAGCTTTTCAGTTATGAAGCTGGTACAGCCCAGTGCCCACATACCTGGCTCGCACTTTGTGCAGCACCGTCCAGAGTATTCATAGTGTTGTTCGCTTTCACACGGTGGAGTGATTTGTAGTGACAACTGGGCCAGAGAAGGAGAGAAAGGACATGAGAACCAATATAACTGGAGAGCTTCAGACCTACCTAGTCACAGTGCTGGCAGAGGAGGAAACTTTTCTTCTGTATAGCACTTTGGATAGCTAAGCAGTAAAAATTACCCAACATTTATGACTTCAAAGGAACTTTGTAGACATGCTAAGAACATGTACTTGATGCTGTACACACAGTCAGGTAATAAATAAATAACACAATCTTGCATTTTGTCATGAACTTTTGGCCTGCTGTACAACCTTTTCTTACGGTACTCCATTATTTGAAATCTATGACTTTAAAACAATTGTTAAGAAAAAAATTGGCATAGAGATACTTCTGTAGTCTCTTCCACAGATATGACCTCAGACCAAGACCTGAGCAACTGACAGTTTTAATGTATAGCATTAAACAAACAAGTAAGGTGAATGATTTATACTCCAGAAAAAGAAGAAGTTCCCAGCTTCCCACTGGGATACACAATACTCCTGGCTAGCCCCAGAAAATACTGGACTTGAATTTTGCAGCTTTTTATGGCTCCCACCACATCGTGCAGAGATGGTCTCATGGAACTGAGGCAGCTATCCAGAGAGGTGATACAATTAAGCCAACAGCTTTTTGCTTTTCAAAGAAGAAACCAAAATCAACAGAAGCCACCTCCCACAACCACCTGAAGCAGTTCCATGAGAGGGCACCTGCAAAGCAGGTAGGAGTGTTGCCTTTAGCTCTTATGGGCCTCCGAAACCCCTCTCGGCTGCCTGCACACACAGTGGTCATACCCACAGCCTAGCACACGTGGCTCCTTTGGCCAGGCTTTGGGGCATGGCTTGTGCTGGGGATCCTGGCCAGCCAAGCACTGTGCCCAGCCCCTTGCTAACCCTGCTTTGGCTGCCCGAGAGTCTCCCAACAGCTGTCCTCCAGGCAACCCAACACCTTACAACCAGTTGTTGATCTTGCAATAGATAAGATGATCCAAAATCTGGCCCATAGCAAGGAACACCTCATTATTGGATACAGTTGTTAAAAATCTCATTTACTTGCAAAAAGCTGCAGTAAAGCTGCTGCTGCTGGTTAAAGGGAGCTTTTGCCATCTAATAGCATATGACAGCCCTGTGCCTACTGATGCTGGTTTCCATTCCTCTACTTAGTGTTCTCCCCTTGTTTCCTCCAAGTCTTTACTTCTCCTCTTCACTCTTTTTCTAGTTTCAACAATAGAATAGAAAATATTTTTCCCTAAGCACCTTGTTCTCTTCTAATGCTGGGAAGGGTCTTGTGACTTGAAGACGAAAAAGTTTGAACTTTTTCTTTAAAACGTCACCTTTTGGCCTGGAATTTGAGCCATGGGTTGGTGCATGACTAGTGTTTATCAAAACTGTGCTAGCTGTGTCTGGAACAGAATAACTACTTCAAGTCAGAGGTCCTGAGTTTCTGTATTTTTGCAGGTTATAAACCACTTACAGCTATTTTTTAAACCATTACAACAATCCTAGGCCAAATTAAGTCCAGTCTTGCAAGAAATCCGTTGTCCCATATATTTCCTTCTCTCTTTGCATTCATTAGCAGTACCTTTCTTGTGATTAGATTATATGTTTTTTTGGAACAAACATTGCATTACGTGTTTGTGCAGCACCTCCCAGGATATCAACCAGCGCTGGTGAGGTGAGAGGTGATCTAGGAAATGGAAAGCCTGCCCAGCCTGGCAGCTGAACAGTGACACCGCTCAGTGTCCCAGGAGAAATGCTGAAGACACTCCTGTAATTGAAGGAGCTCATTTTTTACTTCAGGCAGCATCTGCTAAAACACTAAGCTGGCCAGCATGGGATTGAGGTGACGTTGCAGGACCAAGCAAACAGAAAGAAGGTCTCGAGAGACTGATTCCCTATTCCCAGCCATCCAAAAAGGCAATAAAAGCAAGGACACCAACAACAGGTCCGGTCACTTGCTTTTTGTCACAGAATGTTCTCTTCTTCCTTGTTTCCCCAGTTTGATAGTTCCTCTTTAGAAGACTAAAAAATTACTGAAGTGTCAAACAAGGGCAAAGTCATCCTTTTTAAGGAAGGATATGCAAATCTGCTAAAAAGCATTCAGCTAAAGGGTCAGGAATAATTTCTGAGAATCACAACTCAGCCTGAGGAGAAGCAGCAATCCCCTGGTGCCAAGGCTAGGGGAGCAGGCTAGTTGCTTGGCCACTTTTTGAAAACCGTTTCATACCTCCATGCTTTACCGTATAAAGAGGGCTATTGTTACAGTACAACTCACAGCTGCATAAATCTATGCTCTATGTCAATAAGTAGTCTCTCCTGTAACCGTGTCCTTCCCCTTTTCACACAAGCCAATGCATTCACAGAACTGTGATACTCCCTCCTTGATTTATGCTCAGCAGCATAAAGACAAAGCTCTTGGCATTCATGTGCTAACCCTCACGTGAGCCCAGCCTCCTCATGAAGGCGAGGGATTTTGGCCTAGTAAGGACTGGCTGGACCTGCCAAGCATGAAAGCTGGGGGGAGAGAGGACAGGAAGGGAAGCAAAATCAACCTGGGGTTTTGTTAGGGTGGAAGTCAAACTCAGGCCCTCTTGCTAACATAGCCCCATTGAAGTCAGACAACCCTTGTTTAATCCTCTGCCAGGGGACTATGTGTTGTCTCATTATCAAACTGTGCATCTGCTTCACTTGGGGGCTGAGAAGTACTCATGCTGCTGGCAGCACGATGACCGGATCTTCGCCATCATCAGCGCATTCCCGCCAGTGTCCTTCTGAGACAGGGAAGTGCAATTCATTTGCAGATGAGGAACTCAAACACAGAGGCCAACTGGTTTTACGGAGGTGACAGGAAACCAAACCAAGTCTCCCAAGTCTCAAATTCGCCCTGTAACCCCTGGAACATCCTTCCTCTCATGGGGTGCTGGCTTGTGGGTCAGAGTGATTTGGACATTACTGAGCTCTTATCTAGAGAGAGAAGGGGCCTTGATGAATGAGAAGGTATTAACCTCCTCCGAAGTGATTAAATAAGACAAAACCCAGCCTGATCATTACTTTGATGGTCTCACTATTGATGAAGCTGCCCATTAAATCCCACTACCATATGCAATTGAGTGTTTCAAAGAGCTCTAGGTATCCTGTGTGAATTTAACTTGTCACTTTAAAAGCATGCAAAGCACACAGATTTGCATCAGTTCCTAAAAATCAGCCAGCTTTCCTGCTTGATTAACCTTACCTCAGAACCAGTATCTGTGACAAGGGAAGAGTTCCAGGGAAAAAAAGTCAAACCTCCTGCAGGCTCGGTGGATCCAGTTTGATAAAGCACACCAACACCCATTTACCTTTATGCACGTGAATAGCACTGTTGACGTCTTTGGAAAAACACGCATGCTCATGTCAAGGTTTGCAGGAGAAGTGTGATTTGGTGTTGAGCTGCATGCAGTCTTTTCAGCTTTTTTTTTTTTTTTTTTTTTGAAAAGGACTCTAAGCAAGAGTGTGCTTGTAGGGTCGGAGAGCTGCAATGACTCAGAGCTACAAAGCACCACTGTGTTACTCAGACCTTGAAAAAACACACACACAGGTGCTGCTGAAGGGGGAACCAGCACCATTCAGATTCCTGTCCTCAGGCTTAAGGAAATATTTATTCTTGGTGCCATTGAGCAATCGGATGGCAGCAGAAGCTGTGTGTCATGGATGCTAAAATTACTTTCTCGCTCAGATGAATATTCAGACAGACATTTCAGAGAAGATAGAGTTGCATGGGCCTCTTTCCTTCAAAAGAAAAAATCTGGAAGAACAAGCTTGGGGGTTTCCACAGTCTTTTTCCCATGTCACTTGTGAACAAAAACCTGAGGCCTCAATGAGGATTGTTCATTAGCAATGATCTTAGTTTTGCAAAAATTGAGATGTAAAGGGACATGTCAAGGGGTAACTGTCTTAAGATGACACCTTAAGACACTTAGTTGTTTCTGGAGAGTATTCAAGTCATCTATCATCGTTTCACTGAGCAAAGCACTTTTTCTCTATTTAGTATTACACAACCAAAGTACCTATGGGAGAGACAATTACGGTCTGTCCTGCTTTGCACACCAGTTGTTCTTTGGAGTCTGAGTTTATTCAAATCACTTGCTTTCGAGGTCCTTAGATTTGCCTGCTGTAGAACTATAATATTTCTGTGGGTTTTGGACTTTATTTGCCTTCATCAAGAGGACTGAGCTTTGACCAATATTTCCTGATCTGAAATAGCCCCTGCAAGCACAGCACCCTGGTATCCAGCTAGGACAATCTCTGCAGTCATCTGCTGCTTTTTCTCCTTCAAATACAAGCCACTCCCTCTCCTCTCACAGGTACTGACTGTGTGTCCACAGCCTTCCAGGTTCCTACCTGATCTGAGTCAGCAAAACCCAGATTTCTTCAGCTTGTTGCCGGTTTCAGAGGCTTACTTAAAAAAAATATTTAAGAATAAAAAGAGAATATAGCTCTCAAATGGGCACTGCTCCATGGCTGGTGCACCCGGGTACTCTTGCCAGGTACTCTATTGAGGTGCATAATAGTAACGTGCACAACAAATGACTCTGGAAATTTTTACAATTGTGCATTTATAAGGGGAAAGAGGAGCCTTATGTTATAGACTTAAGCATAATCGCATGGATGCTGAGTGCAACAGTCCCTTCACAGACAGTCTCCACAGCTGATACAAATTCAATCAAAGCAGCACACAAGTCACAGCTTTGCAATTCCAGTTATTCGCTTGCAGGTCTGTAATTCATCATGAAAATCTTAGATTGTGAATGAAATGCTTTTGGTGATGTCAACTTTCCAGTGACCAGTAAACCACATCACAGAACTACCACCACGTGGTCAAATATAGCCGGGAAATGGCAGCAGCTAAAAACTAAATATTATTTCACTCTTAAAAATAGGTCCTTGAAACCCTGCTAGAGCCTAATACCTAAAGAAACCAGAAAGAACATGAGGGATAAAACCGATAATAAATAGGTCAAGAGAAAAC